ATCAGTTGGCTGTTTTCGCAATGCACTTACAGTTGATGCTGCTGCTCGCCGACGGCGGACCCGACGTGGACGTGGGAGTTGTGGGCGCCGGAGCAGGAGCGGATCCCTCTCCCGATCCAGATCCCGTTCCCGTGCTGCCGGCGGTGGTGGTGCTGCTGCCGCTGATCGCGTTGCGTGCACCGCCGCCGGTGAGGCCAATAAGCGAGGTCTTGCTCAAGCCTGCGATGCAATGCGATGCGACGGGTGGTGAGTGGAGCAGCGTGGAGCAAGTGTGAGAAATTGTTAGAGAAATTAGATACAAATATGCGGAGCGCGAGGCACAGATACAAAGGGAGCATGCTATATAATTGTGGGCGTTCGCAGATAAATTACAATGCATAATCCGACGGTGGAAAGTGGCAACAGTTACTCGGCCCGACTCATCCGCGCCGGGCAATTACACCGAGATTATTCCACTCATGCTACGGAACAAATTATACAAAAAACAAAAAACAAAAAAATACAGAAAATACGGAGATGCCAAGGCAAATAATACAAAAGATGAAAAACTAAAATGCAAAACTCGTGAGTGCGAACTTGGCTGGGAGAAATGTGGCGATGGATCAAGGCAAACAACATCTAGGCAAGCAAAAAATAAAAGCAAACCAAGTCAGGTCAATTCTGAAGCACGCCATGGCACAGCAAAACAAAAAAATGAAACAAAAGGTTGGCTTCGGTGCACCGAAGTTCGGATACCCTGGCAGATGGGTAAGTCGTTTCCAGAAACATTACAATCACCATAAATGCGCATATATAAATGAATAATTGCGCTGCTATGAACGTTTTAAAATATTTTTTGAAATAGTTTTGAAAAAGCCTTTCCTTATGAAGGCGCTTACATTAGGCTTGGTCACAAAATTGGTACTGGACTACCAAATACCCTGATCTGCCAGGACTGAGATTTTAGATGAGTTGGTGTCACAACAAAGAATACAACATTCGGTGGTTTCCAAATAGAGATTCTCCGTGGAGAGCCGCACCCTTCTGTTGTGTGATGGTGGGTGCTACGCTGAAGCTTTTGGCCAGACGACGCTGGAGTGGCGGTGTGGGCGTGGCTGAGGCGGAGGCCTGGCCCGTTCCAGGCGATTCAGTGGCGCCAAAGGTGATGCTGCCAACGACTCCGGCGGAGTGACTGCCTCCGGCACTGGTGCTGCCCACGGCGGAGCTACCGCCCGTCGCTAGGCTGCTGGTGGGCGAGGCACTGATCTGTAGCTGCTGCTGATGCTGCTGCTGCTGATGGTGGTGGTGGCCGCCATGGTGACCCATGATGGCGTTCAGGGCGGAGCTGGCCGAGTTGCTCATGAAATTGTCGCGCAGAAAACTACCAGCGCCGTGTAAATGTAAATGCGGATAGTGGAGGTGATGATGGTGATGGGTAGACTGATTCTGCTGGCTCTGATTCGCAATATTCGTGACACTGCTGGAGTGGATGAACTGCTGCAGGGTCGAGGAGGTGGCCTCGTTGAGCGAGTGCCGTATTTCCAGCAGATTCGTCACTACACCCTCCGTTTGCTGCGGCGGCGGTTGATAAACGCCTGATTTTTTTGTTGCATTTTGTTTTTCAAGCGATTTTCAGTTATGCATTTCGATTTAGATACAAATTTGGGGTTAGCAAAACCAGAGATAAACAAACGAACAAGAGAAAAGAGTGAGAAGTACTGAGCTAGCCTTCCAAGAATCTAATGCTAAATGTTGAAGAGCGACCATGTCGAAGTTACCGACTACTTAGAACCTGGTACTCGCCATGTGCCGCGTCCTTGAACTGCGAACATTCAAGTTGTCTAAAACACTCTATTACCTATTTTAGGTTTACAATAGAAAACATCGCACGAGTACCAGGTTCACAAAGGAATGAACGCCCAACGTCCACTTAGGATCTTACCTAGAAAAGCGTCCACTTGACTGGAAATGCCCTTCATAGCATTGAGGAAGATTTGCGGCAGCTGTTGCAGGCAAGGATGCTGGTGGGTCTCAGCGCCCTTTTCGTGGGTCAAGGCCCACTGCACGAAGTGCGATGATTTGCTGATGATATGTGGCGAGCAGAGAGCCGTGGGATTGCCAATCATTCGCAGGAAGCGGTACCACGTCTGGGCCACACAGTCGTTGGACATTCCAATTGGTATCAGCTGGCCATCCTCGTCGGCTGCGCAGGTTTAGAGAAGCTTAGATATGAGATATGTATGATCATGATGTATCGAAACGCACCATTCTTGAGCTGTGGAAACGCAGGACCATAGCTGAACTCCAGCAGGCGTGCGGTTAGGGCCAAGTTCACACGATTCCATTGGTCCACGAGGGCCACGCGGTGCCGCCACATGGCACACGACTCCTGCAGCGTCTTCCACATGGACGGTGAGGGAAAGCTTCGAACGCAGGCCAGAAGCCAGACCTCGAAGAGCACGGAGAGCACTCGCTCGCACAGCTGATCGCCCACATCGTCCTTGACGGTGGGCGGTGCCAGCAGGATCTCATTGATGGCCAGCAGAAAGAGCAGCAGCGTGTCCCACGTCTGCCGGTCCATCAGCTGCGATATCTGTGCTGTTTGCTGCAGAGTTCGAAGCACCCGATGGCAAAGCACTGCCTGCCGTTTGATTGTATCCGCACCTGAAAGGCATTAAGTACAAACTTTAGAAGTGGGCTTTCATATGCTACTGCATTCTTGTCCCAGGACAAATATTGTCCAAGGTACTAGAGAGTTATCTCAGCTAAGACATTATTTATCGCCAGAGCAACCTGTGTGTAAACAGCACGAGCAACCTACCAAGCGTGGTTTGGTATAGAAATGGCAAGACTTGAAATTTAGAGTGGGGTTAATACGAGCACAAGGGACAGCGTATAGATCAGAAAGTCCAGGGGCCAGAGGCCAGAGGGCATCTACTTACTTTCGCCCTGGCGCGGCACGAACAGATTGTGAAAGTGATTGATGATCTGGCGAGCATATAGATTGGCATCCTCGCAGATCGGCTTCGGAACACTGATCCTCGGCTGCGGATGCAGCGCCGTCAGCCACTCGCAGTACACGTTCACGCAGTCCTTGATCGTCTCGTGTTCCTGCAGGGGCAGCGAAAGTCCGAAGCAGATCACGTCCATGCACCATTTTACCTGCAATCGAGTGACATTTAATTATAGTAGTTCTTAATTATTAGTATTGCTTTAAACTGTGCACTGAGTTGCCTTAGCTTAAACCTTTTTTATTCTAGGGAAAACTCGTAGTTTTCTTTTAAAGCATTCTAAGTTTTCTATAAATAGCAGATCTACATTAAACCAACAAACAAAATTCTATATCGTTTCCAGATTGAGGTAATTCCAATTGACCTTGCATTCATTTATGCGGCAATTATATGCACAATTTAATGGATTTAATGGAAGTTTTTCCAGCACATTACTAATTCATCATTTCAGCCATTAAACAAAGGCTTTGTTAAACATGTGTTTAAAGAATGTTAGTTTTAAAGAAAAGAAAATTGTATAAGAAAGCCTTACTGCTCGTTAAAGATTCAATTTGATATAGGATATGTGTACTATTTCGTATTAGGAATACCCTCTATTTGTGCATTTTAAGGATAGTATTCTGTATATACAGCTATAAAGGTAATGATGCTAATTCCCAAGATCCTAACTATCTTGCTGACCATAAATAACGATCTAAGGATCATCTCTACTGCTTCCTACAAGAACAGCCTGCTTCATGGGAATCCCATTGCTTGTGGGACAACTGTGATGACCCACCTCCTCATCCTTGACCAGGTGACTGGGCTCTGCGTTCTGGGTGATGCCCAAGTTGGTGCCCAGCTGCTTGACCACGGAGACGACCACTTCGCGTCCGGCGGAGGCGGGGAATTTGTTGAGGACACTGAAGCACTGGGCGCCGCAGCTGTTGGCCGTGATTTGGGCGGACAGCGAGGCCCACTCGGAGTACATCCTGGTGTGCTGATGGAACTGACGACTCTACGACTCTGCCGCTCCTGATGATGCTGGTGATGCTGGTGATCGTGATGTTCCTCCTCCTCGATGATTCCTTTTCACCCGGCTGTCCGTATTGCTGTCTCTTCTTTCGATCGCTGCGATTCTTTGATCGGATTTCACTTTGTTGACGTCAACATGAAGACTTTTGTTGCAGGTGCGCCATGTTGTTGTTGTTGACTCGCTGATTGGTCGCTCTCATGTTGCGAAATATGGAATCCCCCAAATGTTTATGTTGTTTCGCACTTCCCGCCCCTTTTTCTTGCCACTGTTTATAGCCACGATTCGATTACACCGCCATTAAAGCCGTATTGCTGCGATTTGTTTAATACAATAAATAAAAAAAAAGAAATCCACAGCGAAAAGCGTGCGAGCGGGATGGAGCGATGTAAACAGCTGTGTTTTCTGGTACTTGGGCGGGACTATCGCGTTACCTATCGATAATCGATATCAGAAGTGTTGATTAATACTGAACAAATGTATTAAAAGGAATTTAAATATAATATTAATATTTGTTGCATCTTTCTATGAATGAAACCAAGACCAAGCCCATGCATTGTTTTCCTTTTTTCGTCACATTTTTGCTTCTGGGAGAAAGTGGCCTAAAACAATAGATTAACATAAATGTTTATTAAACAAAAGCAGGCATAAAAAACGAATGACTCAAACATCAAAAGAAATTCGCTTAAAAGCATTATGGCCGTGCAATTAAACAGCGAAATTAAAGACAGATCAGTGGTATAAAAGATAATGGTATATTTTAAAACTACTCATGCTACTTTTCACATTGGCAAAATTATTATTATGAGAAATTCAAAAGCAAACAATTTCTGTGTTTTTGCGTTTTTGTGCTGTTTGGGTTGAGGAAGCATTACGGAAATTTGCATAAATTTGCATAATTTTCGGTGAACCAAAAATCATAATGGGTGTGGACAATGGGCTCATAAAGCTTGCCCAAAAAATGAAAGAAACCAAAAAAGACAGTAAACACATTACGTTTATGAAGCAATCAATTTGGACAAGAATTCATCGAAGGTGCGGAAATTCGCCAGGTGAGATGATCTCCTGTCGCAAAAGGAACAAGTTCTCATTGTTCTTACGATTTGAAAGGCGTCTCTAATAAGTTATGACTTCGGCACGCATTGTTCGATCGCCTCTGGTAAATATCAATGATATAATGGCAAACCAAAATCAATATCTAAACAATTAAACGGAAATTTGCATCCGTATACGTTCTTTTAAGCCAGTTTTATTGCTCCACTTTTGAGATTCTTGGCACTACGGCTATATAAGAACCTCGTAACCGGCGACAGATCATCACAAATTATCCAGTCCTCAAGCTAAACTTGCTCAGAAAAGTTCAGAACAAAGTTCGGAAACATGAAGGTGAGTTGAAGGTCGCAGGGATACAGAACAAAGGATAGCCGCTAAATGTAGTACCAATACATGAAAACATCTACAAATTCAAGTTTTTTTTTTATGTGAAACTCAGAAGAATGTTAAATTATCAAGACACTATTAAAACAAAATAACGAAGTGATGCAAAAGTGATGTTAATTGTGCTCAAGTTTTGTTTTCAAACTTTTTTTTCAAATTTGTTTTCAATGTGATGCCCATAAAAACTATTTGAAATTTGAAAACCGCCTAAATTGCCTAACTTAAATTTTGATGTTGGGATTGATATATTCATATATTCCAAATGCATAACATTAAGTCCTCAATCAAATTGCCGGATATGGTCAGTTTCTCTTTGCTAGATCCTCTAATTTGGTCAGTATTATAAGAAGTGCGACCTATCCTACCATTAGCTGACCATTAACGATCCTACCATCCCTGCAGTTCTTCATCGCCGCCTTCCTGATCGCCGCCTGCGTGGCCCTCGTCCAGAGCAGCGTCATCTACTCGCCGGTGTCCTCGGTTCCGGTGGTCCGCTCCGTGCCCGTGGTGCGCTCTGTGCCGGTGGTGCGCAGTGTGCCGGTGGTGCGCTCTGTGCCGGTGGTGCGCAATGTGCCGGTGGTGCGCCGTGTGAAAGTGGTCGAGTCCGTTCCAGTGGTGCCGTCCGTGGTGCGCGTTGGACAGGCCGCCTCCGTCTACGATGCTCCACTGGTGCAATCCTACGGTGGATGGTTGAAGCAGAAGTAGATGGATCCATTTCAGGCGAAATAATCAATCGATGCGAAATAAACTCTGAATTGAACGAATAAATACACTATCCAAGCGCAAATGCATTGCTTACTTAATGGCGACACTTTCTATGGCATTTTGAATCTATAAAAGTTGAACGGAAATTGAACTGAAACTTGTTTAGAGATCGCAGAGCCACTAATATATGCATGGGTTCCCCAACAGCTGCATTCCATGCACGGATCAATTAACAAACCATAATTAACCGAGACAAGATCATAATCACGATTAGTGGCGCAGTGCATGTTTGCCAACCATTCGGATGTTTCTTCGTTTCCCACATTAGTTTAAGGGCAGCCAATCCGATCTGCCCACCGAAAATCTGTTTTTTGGGCATGGTGCATTTCGAAGAAGATAACCAAAAAAAAAAAACTAACTAATTTGAGCAATTGATCACGCGCCGTTCTTATAAACTGCATACATTAGACTGGACAAAAATATATATCTAATGAAATAATGAATGCTTCATTGCGCTGCAGTCAGTAGATTAAGATAAACATTTGTATTAATAAACATTAGTTTACTGCTGAGAGTGTGTAATACTTGACAGCCATTTAAAATGCGCCGGCAGACATCGCTGATCCGACCCGTTGGCCAATTTTACAACGTCTTATGGCCATTGGGGCAACATAATGCGTTTTACATGGCCCAGAGATGCGACTGTGCGACTTGCATAATCGCTGGTTTTATAAATACCTGCATATAGATGGCACATAGCCCTCATCAGTGTTGGGGTCGGGTTGACAACAGATTCCGATTCACCTTGAAACTGCCGGATGGCATGGGTTGGGTTGGGTTGGGTTCGGTTCGGTTCGGTTCGGTTGGGGTTTCGCTTTGGTTTATGATAGACTGCCGGCCGCCTTATGAGGCAACCAACCTGCAGCTCGCCCGTGTATGCAAATTGAAATCGAAATCCAAATCGAAATCAAAATCAAAGTCAAGATGAAAACGAAAACGAAAACGAAAACCGAAACCAGAAAGCATAAAACATAAGATGCCGAAAAAATATGAAAGCCCCATTCCGAGCTTATCACCAACGTAGCGTCTCATTTTCATGCTAATTGTGGGAGCCCCATTCGGAATTTAGGAAATGCAGCGCAAGACTTGACGAAACGTAAGCCCCAATGATGATGGCCAGTTTGGCAGCTGTTAGCCGACTCCGCATCCAGAAGAACCAGCCGCGGCTGGCGCTTTTGGGTGCGTCGTCCAGCAGCATTTGGTGAAAATCGCCTTCCTAAATGAAAACGAAAGCCCATCATGATGATCATCATCATGACGACGACGGCGACGATGATGGGTAGTTTGGAAATGTTAATGAAACGCCTTTTGTTCGCCCTTGGTGGCTTACATCGTATAAAAGACATGGTCTCCAATCGATCGGACATCAGTCGCTGCTCATCGGCACTCAAGGCGTTTTTTTGGAATTGGTATCATCGCACCAAGTGGATTAGTAGTCAGCATGAAGGTGAGCTGCTCAAAGTATCCTGTGCCTGTTGTTTTTTTTTTTTGTTTTCTACCGATCCAAGCTGATCTGCAAAAGTGCTAAGCTAAATCATATGGTGATAAAGTGGCAACAGCATCGATCCAAAACAAAGTGCGCTAAGGAATATCAGCAGAACTATTTAAACGAAAGAACACAAAGGATATCCATTTGGAAAACACAGTTTTTGAAGTTCAAAGTTGCGAAAAAATGCCTCTGTCTTAAAATACAGAGATCCACCTATAAATATCAACTGCCTAATTGGAAAACACAACAAAAGTCCAAGAACCTTACACATTCTTTGAAATCCTTTAGGGATTTCATTTCATGTGAAATGAATCAAACTAAGTCGCCTTTTATGCTCTGCCATCCCTACAGGTCTTCGTTTGCATGTGTGCTCTCTTCACTGTGGCCAACGCTGGCTTCCTGGGACTCCTCGGTGGTGGACTGGGTGGCGGCAGTGGAGGCCTGAGCCTTGGTGGCGGCGGTGGCAACGGAGGCGGCGGCGGCGGCGGCGGTGGTGGTGGCCGCGGCTACGGCGGTCCCGGTCCCAGTGGCCCAGTCCAGGTGGTCAAGGTGATCCACCAGCAGGGCGGCGGCGGCGGCGGCGGCGTTGGCTACTCCTCCGGCGCTAGCTATGGCGGCGGCTATGGCTACGAAGCTCCGCCCCAGGTCTTCAAGGTGAAGGTCATCTCTGGCGGCGGCGGCGGCGGCGGCGGCGGCGGTGGCTATGGACCCGCTCCCGGTCCCGCCTATCTGCCTCCCGTGGGCCCCGCCCCCTCCTCCGTCAAGGTGATCAAGATCCTGCAGGAGTCCGCACCCATTGTGAGCGCCCCGCTGGTGGAGAGCGCCCCTCAGATCGTCAAGGTGGTGAATGTGGCATCTGGACCCGTGGCTGGACCCTCTTTCATCGGCGGCTCTGCAGCTGGCGGCGGTGCCGTGTCCCAGGTCATCAAGGTCGTTCACGAGAGCGGTATCTCGTCGGGTGGTTACGCCGGTGGTTACTCCGGTGGATACTCTTCGGGTGGAGCCACCAAGGTGGTGCGCGTGATCCATGAGCACTCCGCTCCAGCTGTCGCTCCCGCCTATGCCCCCATCGATGTGCCCGCACCAGTGGCTGCTCCAGTGGCTTCTTTCCTGCCTCCTCAGGAGATCGCTGCTCCCGCTCCGGCTCCTGTTTTTGCTGCTCCCGCTCCAGCTCCAGTTTATGCCGCTCCTGCTCCCGCCCCAGTGTACTCCGCTCCCGCTCCAGTGTACTCCGCTCCTGCTCCCGCGCCAGTGTACTCCGCTCCTGCTCCCGCTCCAGTGTACTCCGCTCCTGCTCCCGCTCCAGTGTACTCTGCTCCTGCTCCCGCTCCAGTGTACTCTGCTCCCGCTCCAGTTTACTCTGCTCCTGCTCCCGCTCCAGTGTACTCTGCTCCTGCCCCAGCTCCAGTGTACTCTGCTCCTGCTCCTGCTCCAGCTCCAGTCTATGCCGCCCCAGCACCCGCTCCCGTCCTGAGCGTGCCACATCCCGCTCCTGCCCCCGTTTTTGCTCCCGAGGAGCAGTCCCTGCCCATCGGCCACGCCCCTGCCCAGACCTACGGCCCACCGGGGTACTAGAGAGATTAGCCATCTATTGAAGGACCTTCCTGCTAACTACATCAACAGCATATTACCATTCCTACACAACGCCATGAGTTTAATTTAAGACATTTTTTTTACAACACATTTTTTTGTTACCAAATACATAGACAATTCCAAAAAGAATCACATTTTGTATTTTTGTATTGGGACTAGAATATCACGTTGATAAAAGGTTAAAACAGGATTATCTTCTATCTACCAAAGCATATTCTTATGTTTCTATAGAAAACTGATAAACTTTAACTCAAGTTGCTTTTTATTGCCATTTCGTGAGAGAAATTTCAACATTTACTAAATGTTAAGACAAAAGACAAGCTCATTTACAAATTGTAAGTTTTACTACTTGCGAGATTTGCATAAGTTGGCAAGGGAAAAAGAAACTGCGTTTGTCTCTTTTTTCTTTCGCGCATTTCAGCCAAAATGTAAATCACTCATATTTTTGAGCTAAGGATTGGCAATCTTTATCATTATCATATCAACGGTCCCACATTTCTCTGCAGCAGCGCACATATATTATAAACTATAAGCACACATTTTAGCGGCATAACATGAAAAAAATTGAAAAAAAAATATGGTGTGCCTGGTGGATCACGGGTCATTAATACGATATTATGATTCGCTTTTTATTGTTTCATAACTCTCTGGCTTTTTAAGGTGATCGTTATGTTTTATTTATTTCAGACACAAAGCATCGATTGTGGTTTATTGGTGGCGGTTGTGTGGTGATTACGTCTATTCGGCAGCCTTGACTAACGCTTCGGCGACCTCCACGGCGATGGCAGCCTGGGCCTTGGCCTGCAAAACAAGGATCGGAGGTAAGTCTCGGTTGGATATCTTCAGAAAGTGCAATTGTAGTGTTTGTAGTTGGGTTTCTGGATTCTATCAAGAGAAATGTAACTCAAACAAAAGTTTTCCCATGAAAATATCGTACAGATATTATAGATAGGCGATAATTTAAGAGCAAACAAGTAGCACGAAGGTAATAACTCAAGTAAAAGTGATGGGCACACACATTTCAGTTACTAAACCTTCTAGTTACTACAATGCTAGTTTACGTGAATGGTGGAAGCAGTGTTTCCATCGATAGTTTGTTTGAGTTATACTTTCTGGACCAGCTCTACAAGACACTACTTTATGCAACTTCTGGACGAGATTCGCACCTTGTCGTCGCCAGCGGAGCTGAGCTGTGACTGGTATTTCGCGAGCAGCTGGCGCGCCTCATTGGCATCGATGTCCTCGATGTTGTGGGCCTCCTCGGCCAGAACCTGAACGGAGGAATCCTCGTTGACGGTGACGGAGCCGCTGGAGACGAAGAACTTGAGGGTCTTGCCATCGTTTTCCACCACCTGGACAACACCGGGCTTCAGGACAGCTGGAAAAGCAGAGAGATTCGCCAGCGGTGATATAACCATCTCGACGGGATCGCCACTCAATGAATGAACTTACCCAGAGTGGGCACGTGCTTGGCCAGGATGCCGAAGGATCCCGAGAAGGAGGGCACATCGATTTGGCGCACCACAGCGGCATCGTAGAAGGTTTTGTTGGCGGCGGCGAAGGTCAGCTTCATCTCATCCGAGTAGCTGCGGTTCTGGGCCAAACGGGCGCCGCGGGCGGCCAGCAAACGGGCGTTCTTGACAAAGGACATTCTGGGCTGCAACGAGAGGATACATTCAGGATTAAAACTCAATTTTCCCTCAGCCAGCCAGCATAACAACAAAATAACCAAATTATGTAACTTTGTAGGTTAGGCGGCGGCTGCAATTGCGTTTGCCTTGCTCAGATTTCGATCGATTTTCACTGCAAATCCTTGGTCACGTTGCTCAGTGGACTACCCCCCAATTTATCAGCTATTTTCACCTGTTTTTATTTCGGTTTGATAGCGAAAAACACGAGAAAACTTCAATGCTCAGCCGCTGTTTTTGCGAAAAACGTTCCAATCAGAGTGACCAGCCGCGAATACACAAATTATCTGGTAACAGCGCGTTGTCACATTATTTATTTTAGAATACTAAATTTTTAATTGGCAACATAAACACCTCTAAAATGAACAGCTTGTTCATTTCACACAAATTAATAACGTGGCTTTAGCAAATAATTTAATAAACAAGTATTTAGGAAAAACGGCATTTAGTGGTTCTCTAATGATTTGACTTCAACGGTCTGGCATCACCGCATCACAGCATACGTTCTGTTGTATATTGCTTTGCAACGTACTATTAAAACCAACATTTTTATAATAACAACTAATTATTAGAAACAAATTATTCTTAAAATGTATTTGAGCTGATAGGATTAAGACAGAAGAGAGAACAGTTTTACTCTTATGATTCTGGTGTCTTTTGATTTTGCTTACTGCCTTTTATATTCTTTCGTTGCATACTTCAACATTTAGATAAAATTAATAAAGTTCCGAATTTTTTCGTAACGCAGAAAGTTTGAGCCCGCGCAACTTTCAAAACTGCCGTTACCGAATATTTATCGCTACCGCAACGCCTGGTCACACTGGCGCAGGCAGCACAACAACAAATTCCAATTGGAAATAGAAACGAAACAATGCAGATTGCTGCATTATTATACAAGTGAAGAAGAAGAGAGTGCCATTTTCGGCTGCTATTTTTGCCCGTCTCTGTGCCTGTGTGTGTGTGTGTGTGTGTCGCGTGTGTGCTCTGCGCTGAGGTGTTTGTTGGCGAACGACAGCGAAAGGCGACAAGCAAACAAACAAACAAGCAACACACTGGACGTAAGTGCTTGCAACATTTACCCAAGTTTGTCACCCACTCGTGCCCACTCTGTCGCACCTGCAGGCGAAACGCAGTTGCGAAAAACAACAGTGTTTCCCCGCGTTTGTGTTTGTGTGTATAAGATAGCTGTCAATTTTTTTCGCTCTGCATATTTTCTATTTTGTTTTGTTATATCCTCTATTTTGCTGTGCATGTGTGTGTGCAAGCGTTTTAGGAAATTGCGCCTTTCAGTTGCAAAAACTCTGCAAAAAAATAGAAACAGAAAGCTTGGCTTAAAGTTTACACACACAGCTGACTTTGTTGTGGAAAAAGGGTGAGAAGAAGAGAAGGATTTTCAGCTTTTTGTTTGTTGCACACACACACAAATGTGAACGAGCAGCTGTGGCGCGCATGTGTATGTGTTTGTGTATTTTTGTTTACCTCTCTCACCACCGTCACACTCTCACTCACGCTCTTCGCCACTCTTTTGCCCTCTGCCAGCGTCGCGGTCGCCAGCGGCGTCGCAACGCAATAAATTTCATGTTATTTCTGATAAGAAAACCAACCGCAATCGGTCTATATGTTTATATATACAACTGATCCTTAGCTATTGACCCCAAGCAGCGGTGCGAGCGAGATGGCAACATCGCAAAGAAGCAGCGACATAAGACAACAACAATGTTGGGTCGTTGCTCCTCTGTTTGCTTCTTCGCTTTCATCTTGTGCTCCTTTTGTTTTTGGTATCGTTCTTTTGGATACTGCGAAGAGTGTATACCCTGCGTTTTAGACCGCAACAATTTTAATCTCAAGTCAAATAATACATTGCATGTACATGTATGTAAAGCTGCTATTGCTGTTTAAATTTAAGGTTCAAACAAACTAATCAAACAAACAAACCACAATGAGAAACCATAAAAATACTGTTCAATCTAGTAAAGTAGATGCCATAGCGTGCTTTCTTTGGGAACGAATAGTCAATTCATACACTACATTCTGGTCAAATAAAAACAACAAGCAAGCGAAGAGAAACAACGCAAAAGTTGACTTTTCAGTTAAGAAGAAGAAGCCGCAGACGAAGAACAAACAGTAAACAATAAACAATAATCGGTCGCAAATGAAGTTCAGAGATTGTGGCAAATTATAATAACGGCAATTAATGCGTATGTATTGCAACAACCTAGAACGGCAACAACAAAGCAAACAGCTGATGGTGCAGATTAATTTAGCGGTTTTTCTTTCGATGGTTTTCATCTGTTGCAAGCGCAGTACCGTTAGCTTTTTTGTTGCTTTCGACACGCGACGTCGCTGCCGCTGTCGCAGTCGCTGCTTGCGTTGGCATACAATCGCGATACCGTTACACGGCAGCCGCTTGTTGCTGTTGTGTTTGCCAGCACTTTTAGCACACACAGTGGCGGTAAAAAAAAAATGCCTTGAAACATATGTAATAAGCGTGAATGTCTTTTTATATATTACTTGGGTGTTTCTACCTTTGCGGCCTGTACTGTGCCGCACACATAAAGTTGCAAGGTGTAGGCAAATGCCAAAAGTCTTGAAAAAGTTTGAAGCCAGGATTGGAAAGAGATGGCGCTAGAGGGCAAGGAAGGGGAGAGAGTAATAAAAATAACACGGTTAACAGTTCTAACGGCACTTGCCGCTTGCGCTCTCCTTGCTTAGCTTCATTTACCTCCCACCCCCTGCTGCCCACTCTGTTCGCCACCTCTTTATTCTTGTCTTGATTGCAACTGTAAATTGCGCGTAATTTGTTTGTTCATTGAGCACGCATTATGCGTTTCGTTCAATTGTTGCTTTCTTGAGCTTTTCTAGCTCGTTTTCTTGTTGTATTTTGTCCTTTATCGCCGACTATGCTGCCACCTGCTGCGTCGCAGTCGGCGTCGCTGCCGGCGTCGCCAGCGCTACTCTGTCTCAGATTTTTTGTTTTGTACCAAAAGCAGCGTCATTTGCCATCCGCATTTCGCGCTGCGCGCTTTGCTTTTCGCTTGTCCCGCTTTGTTGTCGTGCGAAGAGAGTGGCCAAGAAGTAAACAAAATAGCCAAAGTAGAGGTGCAACAAATTGAATAGAAATCCGTTTGTTTCGGCCGCAATAATTGTGAAAAGCGAGCCGAAGAAATCGACAAGTGAGTGAGACATTAACAACATTTTGTGTTCCTTTTTTTTATCCACTTTTCTTTCTGTGTGGTTCAGTGAACTTCTTGTTAGTTTGTATTAAGCAGTTGCCGCGGCAAAAGTGCTAATTAATTAACTAATTGAACAGAAGGGCGCAATTTGGATTTCTTTGTTGTCTGCGTCTTGAGTGCACTTCCCTTTTGCACCCACTCTCTCTCTCTCTCTCTCACGCTCTTCTCCTGCGCTCTTTGTTCTGCCCGTTCGCTCCTTTTGCATTTTCTTTGTTCAAGCCAGCGGCGCAGCGTCGCAGTCGACGTTGGCAGCGGTGGCGATTTGCATTTGGAGATTGAGCAGAAGGCGGCGTTGTGATAAAGAAGTCTGTGTGCAGCAGGGGGCGGATAAAGGAGCGGGTGCAGCGTGGGACGGGGTCTAATTATACATTGCCTTTTCGCCAGTATTTCGGCTTCCATTTGGTAAACAAGTGAAAACAGGACAACAAACCAGCAGAGAATCTCAAGTCTTAAAAAAGGAACTTGCATTTTAGTGACTTAAATACGTTATAATGTGTTTTTGTTAAATTAACAAGCTGTGATGCTAATAACCCTTTGTCAAGCTGGATCACAATTATTGTATGCAGTTAGACAGTCTGCCCAATTTGCAGACCTCCACTGTACCGCCCACCTATTTGTACGGCTAGTCTGTACATGTGTATATGTTTAATCGGTCATTGTCTGCGTCCTCATACTTCCTCATGCCAAAACCCCTACATATTCCAATATTCCGCTTATCAATCGGTAAACATCGACGCGGTCAGTGAATAACAATTAACGACATTGACAGGAGTTACACACATAGGAGGAACAAAGAACACATCAAAGGCGCGCATCTGGTATGAATAATAGATGGGTATCGGAATCCGGGCATTATTCATGGGCATCCGCATCCATTCACGGCTGCCCCGAGATCTGTCCCATTTAAATGGGACCCTACCTGGTCCCCAAATTGACTCATACTCAATTCTGGCTTCGGTGTTTACCACCGCATGGCATACGCCCATTAATCACTTAGCACTCGAAGGCGCTAATAGAAAGAGTGTTCTCATCGGTTGAGGGTTCTCCACTGGCTACTCCAGATGATCCGTCTTGTGGATGCATTCTTTGCATTGTGAGATTGTCTGTAGAAAGGCGTATAGCCTTTAGTTCTGTAGAGATGAACTTCTTTATATGGAGATCCATAAGTATATGAAGCACTATCATGTTTTTATATCATAATTGAGTTCTTGTGAAAGTATTTACATAGTGTTTAATAGGAAATACCAAAATCGCCTTGAGATACAGGGTACACTGTGATTTGGCAAACTGTATATTTCGCTAGCTCATTTTTGTTGCGCTTTGTTTGGTTTCCGGGGCGGCAATTATCCATGTGTGTGTGTGTGGGTTGCCCACTGGAACTACCAACGCCGGAGGCAAGGAGATTGCAAATGGAAATCAATAATGGAAAGGCCCCTGCCATATCTGCTAGCCATAGCCAAAGCCAAAGCCACATAGCCTATATTATAGCCCACTCTGTAACGCTTGTTCTGTTCTGTGTTGTTGTTTCTCTGCGCTGCGCTGCGCTGCTTTTCCTTGGCTCGATTTCAGCTTTTTGCATAACAGATATAACAAACAAACAAACAAGCACATGCATTATTAATTTCGCCTTTTGTTTTTCACTTGCAGTATTCTTTGGCAGGAAATCTGATATAGCCGGGTTCGGAATCGGAATTGGAATCAGAATCGACATCGACATCGAAATCGGAATCGGAATTGAAATCAGATATATTCGGATTAAGAATCGCGCGCGGCAAGTGACTGTAATCGCAGAAATCATTATTCAATGACAGCAGCCGCGGCAGTTTTTACCGCTGCTGCTTTTGCTTCTGCCGCTGGCCACGCCCCCTCTGCCTTCGCCTCCGCCCCCAAAGCGAGGAAAGCCAAAGTGCAGAGTTAACAACGCCCCAAAGCAACCGAGACTGGAAGATAGAGTTGTGGTCCTGGTTAAGGTAAGGAGTAAACACTAGTAACGCTTAAAATCGCACTGGATATAGTAACTATATGTATGTATATAAAACTCTCGATTTAAGAGACCAAACCAGACATCAAACATTTCACATTACTTAAAATTCGCTTCTAAAACGCTTGAAATACCCGTGACACCCTATTATGCCTACTTTATTCGTATACGGTCATGAAAATAATGATCGTTACATATCGCCATAAAAACCATAATAAAGTAGGCTAGTGTATCGCAGGCCGGCACCACCAAAAACATTTCGGCACACCCCACACCATTTTGTACATTCGAGTTAAAGTGACTGTTTTGCTGTGAACCAATGACTGATTAGCAAATTCCTGATTACAGAATAAGGACCACTTTCAGGACAGACAAACGCAGGAGATTTGCAGTCTATAACGTTCGCATATAGAGGCACACGGAAACAAGGATATCAACGTCACCATGGTGAAGACGTTTCAGGCCTACCTACCGTCCACGAATCGGACATACTCATGTGTTCACTGCCGCGCCCACCTCGCCTCCCACGACGAGCTCATCTCGAAGTCGTTTCAGGGCAGCCAGGGACCGGCCTATCTGTTCAACTCGGTGGTGAACGTGGCCTGTGGGCAGACGGAGGAGCGGGTGCTCCTAACCGGCCTCCATGCGGTGGCGGACATCTACTGCGAGTGCTGCAAGACGCCGCTGGGCTGGAAGTATGAGCACGCCTACGAGTCCAGTCAGAAGTACAAGGAGGGCAAGTTCATCATTGAGCTGGCGCACATGATCAAGGAGAACGGCTGGGACTGAAGGGCTCTCCGTCTGATGGGCTGAATAATCAGGAGCACACCCGTAACAGGATCAGGAAAACAGGAACAGCAGCAGCAGCAGCAGCAGCAGCAGCGGCGGCGTCGGCGGCAGCGGCGGGAAAAGCAGCGAGTTCACCACAAAAACAAAAAAAAAACCAAAAAAAACGAAACACACAGACATAGAGTGTTAACAAAATGGCTAAAGTCTGGAAAAATTCGAAAGAACAAACAGAAAAAAAAAAAAAAAGGAATGGGCAGCCGAAAAGCGTGATCGAGATTTAGGGTACCACACAACATATATATGCTATTATATAGTGCATAACTCGTCGTATCTTATAGAACAAAACAAACAAATCAATCAGACACACAGATATACCGCACACTCGATCGAAAAATACCCATTACATAGAAAGCTTGATTGGGCTTGGGAAGGATCTCTGCGCTGGCCGCCATCTAGGATTTCCTCACATTCATTTCGATTACCATTACCCATTTATACCACTTTGTTTTCCTTTAACCCATTTTGCGTTGCAAGTTGATTCAATTATGTGTACTTTCTGTGCAAAATCGGCCTTAATTCGATGATTTCAAATATAAAACTGGCGAAAGCCACACGCAAAACAGAACTTGCACTGCCAATAAATAAGAGAAATGTTTAGCATCCAAAAATAAAACAGCAAAAGCAGGAACCATTTGAAACACATGCGAAATCAAAAATAAAAATCAGGAAAACAAATTGATAACACTCACCGACATAGACAAACACATACACACTCAAACATTTTTTAACGTAGTAGTTATATTTAATACAATTATTACAATTAATTATTTAATACAATTTAGCTTGAAACAAACAACAAAAAACACACACTAAAAAGCGAGATAAACTTAAATTACATATTTGTCAATGTGCAAGCGTAAAGAACAACAGAAAAATAAAGGCGGCAAGGTGCGCGTCCCCGCCGCCAGGTGGCGTTCAGGTGATGTCCTCCGAATGCCACATGACACACGGGAATGATGCACCGTTGTGCGGGGGAAAAGGGGTTGGGAAATGAAAGAAATTATATGAAATACAAGCATATGACATGCCTAACTTTAGAATGAATATGAATATACATATATGTATATATGTATATTTATGTAAGAGAGAAATGCGTATTTATGTCGCAAAATATCGTACATTAATCAAATCGAAGGAAGCTGAAGCTAAACAAGAACATAAATATATGTATAACGATGGAAAAAGAAAAGAGCATATTTTTAAAGCAAAACGGATTATGAAATATGAATATGCAAAAAATAACTGCCAAGAACTATTTAAGTTAAATGATGTTCTCTAAGTAGTTATATAAATGTATCTGAGGAATATATTTTGTGGTAGAATTAAAGTGAACTAAAATAAAAGGAGAAACAAGAATACAAAATATAACAACAGAGTTCAATAAAAACAAAATCAAGAAAACAAATCCCTTTTGAAAACGAGTAACATTGAAATTGCTGAATACTTATTTGTGTCCTGAATTTCATCCTCTTAAGCAATTGGCCGTACTTAAACTCGTACATATATATATCTTTCCAACTTAAAACCTAGTTTTATCGAAGCTTTAAGCTTTGTTCGACCATTTAGGCATTGACTACTGTACTCCATGCATCTGATGCACCATGAAACGAAACACAAATTTTGAAAAACGGAATTCATACAAAAACGAAAACCAACTGATGTTAGTATTTACATACATACATGCCACTATACATACATACATACAAAAACGAGACCACCTTTACATAAAAAAAAACATAAAATACAAAAACATACAAACATTAAAACACATCCAAATACAGTCAGCGCCATGAACCGCATGCAGCCGATTAAGATGTATTCAAATCTCAATTCAAGATTGCAATAAAGCGCATTTTTAGCTCAACCAACCGATGTTTTCGTTCTTTGGGATTTCGCATACAATATTTTATTTGTGTACACATGGAACAGTGTAATCAATTCAATTTCAAATTCTGCATCATTTGAGTGTTAGCTTCAGTGTTGTCAGTAGTAATTTCTGCATTATTCTATTTAAATGGTTTACGATAAAACAAATAAGTAAATGTGTGAATTGGCAAGACTAATTGTAAACCGCATTTAAACGTCGTACCGTGTAACGTGCAACGTGTGAGGTATTAAACGCTGTTGAAAGATCCGATTGGCAGCCGATTACGTACGCAGTTTGCAGCATATCAGCAACGTGTTGGACAGTAGCAGTGATATGTGGTTCATCAGCAGCTGGATGGATGCCTCGTAGAGCCATAGAGAGGGCATTCGTGTTCGTTAGTGTTGATATATCCGTCCATCAGGCGAATCGACAACCCCGCCTTTAACATCGTCTTCTGGCTTCGATTCCTCGGATTTTGGGCGAGGAATCAAGCCCGTGCAGACATTTTGTCAGCACTGTACATGTAATAAGGCTTAAGCCCATTGTGGTGACTGTAGTTCTAGTGTATCTTGGTCCATCAGGCGAATCGACAACCGCGCCTTCAACATCGTCTTCTGGCTTTGATTCCTCGGATTTGGGTGAGGAATCAAGCCCAGTGCCGACATTTTGTCAGCACTGTACCTGTAACGAGGCGTACCCCCATTATGGTGACTGTACTTTTGGTGTATTTTCATACTCACTTTTTTCACGTGAAAAATTTTGAATTTTTTTTGTAACTTATTCCAGAAATACGACCGGTTTGTTGCCCATGTCGAAGGCAAATGAAATTTTGGTTGCCTGTAGGTCGAATTACAATTTTTGTTCCAAAAAAATAATGACAGCTAAGTTCTCGGCCAACCTGATGTAATTTATCAGATTTGGGGTTATTTTTTGTTAAATTCATCTAGTCACCTTTGAAAATGGATATTGCATTTAGTGTGGCATATTTTGATTGAAATAACTGCGAAAAGGACAACGTTCCTATTGCATTCAATGCAAGCTATTGAGGGTATGAAAATGCCCCACTAATCCTTTATTTCGTTTCCCTTATTTCCACTCAAAAGGGAAGGAAATTGACATGTGAGGGACAGGAGGACAGCCTACGTAGGGAGAACCCTGCTCCGTGAGACCTTCATTTTTTTCCCCTCAACCAATTCTGACGTGGGTCAATTTAATTTGAAGAGATTGCAATGCTGAAATGGCTGTAACTGTCACACGCCCAACCAAACTGGAAAGTAGGGCCCCATTGTCTTGTCCTTTTTTTTTTTTTTTTGGGATGCGAATTCGCCCACACACAAACATCCTTTAACATGGAGGTGTTAAAGGGAAAGCCCTTTTTCTGCCCCCTTTGAGATTGAGCGAAGGGTTTTGTGTTTGATATTTTCCTCAAACCATTTGTGCTCCTGTCGGCAGTTTCATTACTTTCCATTTTTTTCATTTGAGTGGAAGTGGAAGTATGAAATGCTGATGTCTTGATTGTAGGTCCCAGAATGAAATTGAAATTGAATATTAAGCCCAAATAGGTTCAACAGTTGACTGCTTGAGGTAATTACATTTAGTTTTCATTGGACAAGATCTGATTATACTGAACGCATTGTGGCAACACTGCGAATTAGTGATATTGCACACGTTTACTACCCCTTAGCTCACATTAGTTTGGTTCATAAAGAAGCATGAATAATCCGTTGAAATAGCTAATACTTAGTTTGTTCTCTTAAAGTCGCATAATAATTTAACAGGCAGCACGCTATAGCAATGGCTATGGAGGCCACAGTCATTACTACTGATGATGTCCCTCTCCGTACACAAACTTCTGATTTACATGACCCTCTGGGAAGTAAAAAAAAACACAAAACTACAGACCGGAGTTGGCTTCGAAGAACTTTTGTCGGCCAGACAACAACTAATGAATGATGCAACAATAAGGAATCGCACTGGCCAAGTCCGCAAAAGTCGACTCTCAATTGGGAAAATGGGGGCTGGGGGAAAACTGCAGGGAAAGCACAACGGGGGGTTGGTGGTGGTGGTTGGGTTTTCGAAAATTCCGAGAGGGAAAAACATTTCCTGGTCTCGTTTGCTTCGTTTGCCGTGTCCCCCTTTTGGGTTTGTAAGCATTTAATTAATATTGAAAGCGACACATAAAAGGCTTAAATGCCCAGATCCCTCACAGATGCACACATGGCAGCCACGGAGGCCCAGACCCCGATACCCGATCCCGATCCCGGATCCCTGATGCACACTCAATCCGTCGAGTGCAGCATGGCATCCAGCAGCAGGCCAATCATTTTTTCCAGCACCATGTCAACGCAACCCAGATGAACCGGCTGACTGACTAGCAGAGTGAATGGTTAGCTAGAAGGAATCGTAGAGCGGTCGATGCACTGAAAGAAACCATTTCTTTTCGTCACTTACCATCTGTTCTAATATTTAACTTTCGTCTTCTCCACTGGAGTGCACAATAGCGCCCAAAAGTATGCAGTGCACGAAAGCTTCAACTTGGAGCCCTAGTGGGTTAAAACAATCTTCTGATTTCCCTTGCTTCTGCCCATTTTGGACAGTGTTTATTGGGAATGTAAGTCGCAGAGTGGGGCAGGTTGGACTGCAAGTCAAAAGTTGACTGGGACCTTGTCCTGTCATCACTTCAGAAGTCTAATGGGCGCGTCAGTGTTCGCCGAGCGTTCAGTTTCGGTGCAGTTAGTTGTCAGCTAGTGTCCCGGCATATCCAAAAACCCCTCCTTTTTCGGGGGTCTGCCATTCTGCCATGGATGGCAGTCAGTCAGTCGCTTGTGTGTCATATGCACTGTCCCCATCCTTCAAGCGTCTCTTCAGTCCGCAGCATACACACTCGCACACTAACACACCAGCTGAAAGGAGAGCCCACAGTGGCTCAATCATCGTTGATACGCCCAGGAAAAAAAGGGCCCCTTTTTTGAAGGGGGCTTAAACTAGCCACCCCCTCTTCCCGCGCCGACCACTTGTGATGCGCTTTTTGGCCCCTCCTTTGCGCTTTGTGAACTGACTTTGGCCCATTTGTTTCCGCTGGCACTACTCGCATTCCTCAGCGATTCATGGCTTGGCTGTCGAAAATCGACGGGGCGAGTGCTGTGAATTGAGTTTTAAAGGGTGGTGACACTTGCAGCCGACCAACAACTTACTGAACTGGAACATATTTCCTTCAAATGACCAAAATGGGTCGAGCCACAATTGTTTAATTGTTTAAAAGCCATTTGCGTAAATTGTATTCATTTCTTTACCTTGTATTCCATTTATCATGTAACATAATCTTTCGTCGCCTTATTTTGCTTGTTTTCCATTTCTTTCATTTCTTTACCTATTTATTATATAATGTAATCATTCGTCGCCCTATTTTGCTTATTTTTCGATCTCATTCGATCTCAGATCGAAGAGTGCATCTTTGGCCCAAGGGTCGCCGTTTCAGGAAGCTCTCAAAAATATACGTACGAGTATTTCGCCCGGCGGCTTTTATCTAAGTATGTGAAACAGCGCATTGCGACGTTGGCTGGCTGGCGATGTGGCAGAAAAAATCCAAGCCCATCGTGTAAACCACCTACATTCAGTATGCCCCATTCCAAGTGTCATAAAGTGACAAATCCATCAACGGCTCGGATGTGAAATGATGCAAGGCGTGCGCAATTTGTCTCGCCAGAAACGAAACGAAACGGAACGGAACCGGAACGGAACCGGAATGAAATGAAACGCACTGCTAATGGAAGCGAGGAGGGGGATTTCCTGGCAATTCAATTTGGGATTCCCCCGAGGAGGAGGAGGCCACCCCTTTTCCCACATTACTGTGCATCGTAAAAATTCGTTATATGCATGGGTGCTTGAGACCAGATGAAATACGAAGAAATAGCAATCGTTACGCATATTAAATTAGCAGAGAAGTGTTCTCAGGAAACTGGGATCTTTGAAATTATTTGCGTTGGAGGGGTGGGGTGTATTGTGCCAGTTTTTCAATTTTCGGTATGCATTTTGTAGCAATGCTGTCATCTGGGGAATTTAAAATTCGAAATGTTCAACGCAAATATTGAAAGAGTGTTGTATATGCACACCTCGGTGCCCCTTCACACCCCATTCGAAACTAAATAAATATTTTTATTGTGTTTGTTTGAATTTTATTTGCCTGACTGCAGCTACTAAAAGCCAATAAAAATGTGCACGTCCTGCATATATATACGGATATATTCTCACAGAAATGTAGGTTTTGCAAACTAAATTGAACGTTAACTTATGTGCCTTACGCCGCATTATTGGCCATGTCGAGTATGTCGCTGTGGACGGCAGTTCACGTAGTGACGAACCGCACTCATTTGTTAAAATTGGCGATTGATTACTGACAATTTGTGAGCTGTTTAAAACATTCATTAAGCTCCAGTGGTATTTTTATCTAAGTATAGATAAGATAGCTTTTCATGAACATCCTGATTTCCCCTGACTTGCTTTATTTGTTCTTTGTTAAAAATATATTTTTCCAAGTGCACTCATTGGATGTGTGGAAGTCAGGTTCGGCAATAAGCCGTTTATGCCCTGATTTATTATGGGCCAACAAATCACCGACATGATGGCTCAAAGCCCACCCTCCTTCCACTCCACTACACAAACCCGAATGAATCCCGGCTGGGTGCATTTTTAATGGTTTTCGTGGAAGGGCTGTGATATTTGCATTGTGCCCGGGGCTCCTCGCAGGAAGCCATCGAATTCAAGTTCAATTCGGCGGCGAACACTTAAAGATGAGTCCCAGCACGTGGGAGTACATCCATCGCACACCACAAAACAGGGGGGGGTGTTTGACCCCCCAGTGGCAACCAGGTGGCAATGAGGCTGTGGCAAAAGTGATGATGACAGGGCCAAATGGAACTTTCGTGTATTATTATTGCTGGGCTTTAACGCTGTTTTCTTTTGGCGGTTGCCCCTTGCTTTAATGGAAAGCCTGAGGGTGTTCCCTTTCCTTTCCACGAATTTGTCCCAACTCCAATCGACCAAAAACCTCTTTAAGAATTTCCTTAAGGGGAGAAGTATTTGCGAGAAATCAACTGCGATCGATGGGCCATAAAAATCCACATTAAATTGGTATAAGTCCATAATAGTGGAAGGAAATGAATTCTTGCATTTATTACCAAAATATTGCATGCCTTAGTAAAGAAAAGAATATTTTTTAAATATTCTAAACCCATGGCAAACAATTTTAGAGTTATATTTTGTGAAGATTTACTCGAGTGACAGTAATCAATGTGATCGAAATGTAATTTCTGGTTACATCTTTTCGCTGATTTCGGTTCTGAACCTATACCTATAGCTTGCTCGTCCTGTGAACTTCTTCACACACTTAGGATGATGATTGGGGTGTAGGGCAAGGTGTGGGTGGTAAATGGGTGGAAAAACGTACGAAGGACGCAGTGATGCGAAAAGTGTTGAAAATGAAATCGTGTACGCATCGAGAGCATAAAACGTGCATTAAAATCTGTCATTTACATTGGTAAAGGCGTGAAAAATTGGCTGGGTCCAATCCCCGACCCGCTCTTTGTCTCCCGGCCACCGGATTTTCCACACTTTTCCCCACCTTTCTCTTTCACTCTTTGTGTTTGCTCCCCTGGCGAAAAGTTGGAAAAGCGCTGACGAGAACTCGGTTTGCCTTTGGCTGTCGCAGCATCGCTTTTCACTTCTTACAACACCACGCCCCCTAGAATTTTCTCATTTTCCCCGCAGCCCCCTGCACCTGTCCTCGTTTCGGCTTCAACTCTTTTTCGCTTTGAATTTGCTTTATGA